TCCTGAACTGAGGTCTCTGTTCCAGTCAGTTCTGTGCGGCCCCCCTCTGCCCCCCACCCAAAGCCTCATGTCATAGAGCAGCAGGCTAAATGGTGCCAACAGGGTTCCCATCCGCACAGCCTCTGCCTTCGGAAAGGCCCCGACCAGGGTGTCTGAGCACGTGGAGGCGCTAAAAGGCCGAGGTGGGCAGAGGGGGTCCTGACCCTGAGCACGGAGCCCTGACGGTTCTGACCTGCACCTACACTCACGTGCTTCAGGGCTGGGCTGAGATCCTCCCCGGGCTTGGTCCCGGGCGGGGCCCAGGTGCCGGGAGTTGGTCCGGTGATGGTGGCTCACAGCGGGGGCACCTGGGATATGAACTTGGCTCTGGGGAGCAGGCTTGCCCTTTGCCGCTGCACTTCCTCCCCGAGTCCTGGCAGCAAGGAGGCCGACGCGCTGTGGCCAGCGTTGGTTCTGTGATCTGACTCGTGCTGTGCCTTCCGGCCAGGAGCACTGGTTTCTCAGCTTCTTCTCAGGACTTCCTTGAGTCACGGCCATGCTTTCCTTGGCTTTATTGATCCACTTCCGTTTCCGTCCTAAAGGAGAGTGTAGTGAATGAAGGTTTGGGAACTCGCTTCCTCAGCTTTTCCGAGTCCATTCTCTCAGTCGCTGGGCCCACCAGCCGGCCTCTCCTGTGGGAACCTCAGGGCCCGTGGGCAGTGGGGGCTGTAGGGCAGGGTCTGCCCACTCAGGGAGCCCCTGTTACAAACCATTTCACAGCTGTGAGTGATCACAATGGGCCTTAGGCCTTCCCCTTACCTTCTTCTCTCAGCAGATAACCAGAGTCAGGAGTGAGCTACTAGGCTTCTGGCTGAGGCCAGCCAGCCACAGGTGCCAGGCGGCTACCTCTGCAACAGCCTGCCCGCTGAGGGAGTCTGCTCCCCGCAGGCCATGTTGAGGAACTGCAGAGCACAGATCCCAGCTAGACAGTCTAATCTCTGCCTTGAGCTCTTGGGGAGGGGCTACGGCGTTAAGGAGAAATCTCCTTCTTGCTTGGGCTCAGGTCCTGGGCTGATAGGCCGTGCCCAGCCCTGAAGGACTCCAGAGGCCCAAGGGCTGTGGGGCTCCCTCTGCAGCTTTTCAAAGCATCATGGGTAGAAGCTTGCCAGGGGGTTTGCCTGGTCCTTAAGGGTCTGTAAGGCAGGATGAGCCGCTAGGACTCAGAGGACACCACAGGCAGGCCCTCTGGGGGGAGAGCAGGAGGTCCCAGGGGTGGCGTGGTGCCTTTTCCTCTCTCTGGAAAGGTAACTGGTTCCAGACACAAGTGTGTACATCTCAGGCGCTTCCTCCTGAGCTCCTGGAAGCCCATGGTGACCTGGCCTCTCCCTCTGCTTACCTTGCAGCCGACAGCTCGGACAACTCTGACCTGGAAGATGACATCATCTTATCTCTGAATGAGTGAGAAACAGCAGCACGTGGAAGAGTCTTAGCAGGCGAGAACCTAAGTCAAATGAATTCACACCACCTTCCCCCCTGCCTGCCTCCCTCCCTCCCAGGGCTGTGCTTAGGGAACGGCCTGGCCTGGAGAGTCCCCTGGGCCCCGAGGACCTGTCCAAAGCTAATAGCCACCAAGACACCTGTGGTCAGGCCCTCGTCTGTTCCTTCTCCTCGGATGGACATACCTTTCCTCAAGGGAGAAACATGTTTCTGGGGTCATTTCACAATATATTTTCTTTGTATAATGTTCTTTACTTAAAGAATAAGAAATAGTTTTTTATAAAACTTAAAAAGAAAAAAAAAAGCCCAGCGTTTATAATTGAAGGTATGAACTTGTATCCGCCAGGTCCTTGTCCCACTGCATTTTCTGCGGAAGAAAATGGCGTCTAAAGAACAATGTGGAGGCATTTTCACATTCGTATTTAAGTGAAAGGAAAATCGTGGTTTCTTAAACTGATGAGGATGAAGACTATTTTATTATAAATATAATATATGATTTTTAACCTGTTGTTGCCTCACAAGCTGTCAGGGGGACTTGCTCCCTGGGCCGGGAGGACGGTGGCTCCCGGCTCTGGCGGGCAGCAGGGCTGGATGCTGGCTCGTGGAGTCCAGGGAACTTGGGATAGGAGTTCACTCCCTCTAGTTTTCTTTGTCCTTGTTTTTCAAAATCTTTTTTTCTCTTTCCTTTCTCCCCAATGTGGAAATTACAAATCAAAGGCCTTTTTCTTTAATGTAAAGTGTATTTATTTAAAAAAATACAAAATAAACTACAAGCCTGTCTTTGCTACGGCCTTTCCCTGTCCTTTTACCAAAGCGGGTCTGTCCCTTTCCTTGCAGCTCTAGCCATGCGGGAGAGAAGCCGCCTTCCGAGAGGCAGTCGGCACGGTGGTAAGGACACCTCTGCCCAAAAAGCTTTCTGGGGAGAAAGGGCTCAGTCCCAGGTCTGCCCCGGCCCGGCCCGGCCTGCAGCTCCCCAGACTGTCTGCAGACGAGCCCCTGGCGCGGGGCTGCGGGAGGCGGCAGGCTCTGACCAGGAAGGCACTCTGAGCACAGGCCCCACGTGGGGCTGGACCGTGGGCCCCTGGACATGGGGAGGGATGAGGCAGAGCTAAGGGGCCGTAGCTCCCTGGGAGGCCAGGGGCAGCTGCGGGGCAGCGGGCTGGCAGCTACTCACAGGCTCTTGCAACCAGCCTTGGGGTGAACCGTGCCACCACCAAGGATAATGCCAGGTGCTTACCCCCCCCCCCCCCCCCCAATGAGAGACCCTGCTGCCTTCCTTCCTGTGAGTTTGCCCAGTAACAGCTCTTGGTTTCTGTCACGTAGGTACGTAGCTCAGAGAAGAGGGGACATTTGGTTTGAAGTAAACAAGCAAGACAGACAGCTAGACTCACCAGGGGCTGGTGAAGCCCGGCTGGGCTCGGAGCACCACAAGCTGTCACACACCGAAGCCCTGTGTCGCTCAGGTACCTCCTGGTCCTCTAGAGCAGAGGTCTCGGCTCCTAAGGTGCATCATGCCTCAGCTTAAAAAGGTCGCTAACACCTAACCAGTAGATAGATTGCTGGTGCTGAACGGATTAGAAGAAAACGGGTTAAAAGTAAAGAAATGGTAAAAGCACTCTTTCTACCAGTCATTATCCGAGCACCGTTTCCCTGACACTGGCAGCTCCTGGGAGCACCTGGGCTCGGGGGAGGGGCCTCGGCAGGAAAGCCAGATTCTGGTTGCCTTGACCACACACCCAAAGGGGAGCACCCTGAGAGACCACGGAAGCATCAGCCCTCGTGCTCAGGCCACCAGGGCGCAGGCGAGTTGCTCAGGAGCCCTCCTGTTGATTTTGCTTTCAAGCAACACGCCCGAGAGCAGCGTCTCCCCGCGGGCCTTGCCTAGTGCTGCCTCGGCCCCCCCGGCACCCTTGTGTGTTGAGTGGAAGGAAGTGGCTGAGAAGAGGGTGTGAGGGACGGGAGGGAGGTCACAACAGGCTGTGGCTCGTCACCAAAACTCAGGGGACCAGAGAACATGGACGTAGCCCCGAAGGGGGACAGGCGAGGCTGCAGTCTCCAGCCAGGTTTCCTGGCTTCTGTTCGGGGAGGGCCGGAGGCGGTGTTCTGGGTCCCAAGTGCCCACTCGTCAAGCACCCCGAGATGCCGCTCTGGCCTGTGGCCGGCAGAGACCTGCAGGAAGCCTGCCGGGGGGGCCAGCCCTCCCCTCTCCAGCACAACAAGCAAATAAACCGGCAGCCCACTTGGTGCGAATGTTTGTTACAAATGCACTCCTTCCCCTGGGCTGAGCACCAGCAGAAGCCCAGAGAGCAGCGTCCCCCCCCCCCCCCCCCCCCCGGCACCTCCCCCTTTTGTTTTAAATCTCAAGACACCTCCTTTTCTGCCTTTGTGGGCAGGCGTCCCCAGGCCCTCACGGCTGTCCCCCAAAACCACCTAGCACTGCCGAGAGCCAGCTGGGGTCGCGCTAGACCTGCAAGCAAGGCCTGGCCACTAGGGCTCGTTTCTCTCACTGGAGCTTCCTTCTCCCTCATCCTGACAATGACCCTTTGGACATCCAGCCACATGAGCATCCCATGGGTGTGGGTCTTTCTCCAGTGCCAGTGGCTGGAGGACGCGGCTTCCTTTGCCAGCACCGGCCACATGTCTTACCAAAGATGCGTGATGACATTTAATGCTGCAAGTGTTCCCCCTCCCAGCTCAAGCGCCTCCACACCCCTCCGGCCTGGCACCCCAGGCTGCCCTTCCCCCCCAGGAGCCCGGGTCTCCACCACCTCAGTATCCTGGCAAGAGGCCTAGGCACACTCACCTTGCACCTGGGAAAGTTAGGCCACAGCATCTTCCTCACCTGCCGCCTCCACGGCAGCATCACAAACATCTTCAACGTCCCCCACCAAGCTCTAGGACTCGGCACATGACCATCAGTTCTGAGCAACCTCAGGGAGCGCTGGAATTCACAAGTTCATAAGCAAGCACAGCGGCCTCCCACCCTCCTCCAGCACGGGCCTCTAGTGTCCCTGGGAGTCTGACAGCTCCGTGTCCAACTGGGTGTCCCCGGGTGGCTGCACCAAGGCCAGAGGGAGGCGGAGAGAGAGGGAGTCCGCACGGTCTGTAGCACCAAGACCCCTGGGCAGCACATCGGATCCCACAGCTGCCAGACCACCTGCTTCCAAAAGGCCTGGCGACGGGAGCTGTCCAGCAGCCACAGCTCAAACCGATGGGCACCAGCTGTTTAGGCCGAACCACCCAAACCAACAACCACCGCAGCTGCTCCCCATGGACCCGAGGACACCCCCTTCCTTTGCATGAGCTCTGCAGCTGGCGGTGGGTGCAAACGGAAGCCACCTGCTCTCAGCCAAGATGGAAAGCCAACGTGCATCCAGTTGTGACTCAGCCCAAGGAGTCGAGGGGCTGAGAACCGACGCGGCAGGACGTGGCAACAAGCCGGTGCCAGGAAGACGACGTAGGGCATTTGTGGGCAAGGTCTTCCATCTTTGAGGGGAAAAACTTGATTAAACCAGGACTCTGAACAGGATTAAAAATCCATCCTGACAAAGGCTTTACTGACAACTTTCCATACAGTTAGTCAAAAAATAAAAAATACAGAGCACAGCAGACAGTATCTCGTACACTAGAAAGCAACATGACAGGAGTCCCTTCTCATCACGGTAGAAAAATCCCCAAAACCTAAGGACTGCTTTGGTGGGGACAGGACTCTGGTCTCCCACCTAACGAACCAAACAACCCAGCAGAGAGAAACCAAGGGGTGGGGTCGAGGCAGCGGATCAGTGACGCGAGCGGAGCTGGAGCCGGCGGGCTAGGCAGAGTCCCTCACCAGGACGATCACCATGTGCTCCTCCTCCAGCTTGCCCAGGGTCCTCAGCGCCGACTGGAGGTACTGCTGCGAGAAGTCGCAGGGCGGGAAGGCATAGAGCATGCCGGTGCTGTCTCTGCCCTTGGACCCCCCCACGGGCAGGCTGATGACCCCTGCCGCCTGCTTCTGCTTCAAGTAGGAGACCAGGTTCCTGAGAAGCCGCCTCTGAAGGCCTGGCTCCACCAGGGGCACCCCCTCCGGGCCAGGCCCGCCGGGGGCGGCCTGCGTGGCCAGCAGCACTGCGTAGCCATTGGGGCTCCCCTGCTTGATGCGGCGCGTGACCTCGTCGAGCTTGGGCTGGTCCAGCCGGAGGCGCTGGGCGATCTTCAGCTGAGTCAGCTTACTCCCCGAGGAGTGGTCTTTGAGGAGCCCGCCGACCACCCCCTGGTCCCCCTCCAGGACGTGCATGGCCGTGGGGAAGCAGCTGTTCTTCAGCACCAGCAGCCCGCTCCAGCCCAGCGGCAGCGTCTGGGCGTACTCCGAGAGGCTCTTGAGCTTTGTGGTCTCGTGCTTTGGCTCTTCCGGAGGCTTCGGCTGGGCCTCAGTGGTCCGGTGGTTGCGCTCGCTCTCCCGGGTCTTCTTCCCATGGGCAGAGTCTGGAGCCTCGTGGTGGTGGTGGTGGTGGTGGCCCCGCTCCTCAGCGCCGTGTCTGCTGTTGCTGAGGGAGTTGCTGCTCGGCTCCTTGGTCCCCTCGCTGGAGTGGTTCTCCTTGCGGCTGCGCTCAGGGGTGCGGTCGGAGCCGCGGTCGGCCTGCTGCCCGCCACCCTTGGTCCTGCCCCGCTCCTCGTAAGGGGAGTGGGCTGTCCTCCCACGGTCACTGGAGAGGCTCCTCCGCTTCCGCCTCTCCTCCCAGGGCTTGGGCAGGCCCCGGTCCCCGTCTCCGCCCCAGCGCTCCCCACTGCGGCTGCGCACCGAGCGGCTGTAGCCCTCCAGGCTGTTCCTGCGGTCAGAGCCCTTCCCCGGGCTGGTCCAGCCCCCTTCCAAGAAGGTCCGGTCTCGGTCTGAGTACAGGAGGTGCGGGGGCGTCCTGTCCCGCACCCGAAGGTCGGGGTCCAGGTTGCGGTGCCGGGTATACCCGTCTGGTAGAAGCTCGTAGTGCACCGGGAGGGGCGAGGCCTGGTACTGCTGGGGATACCGCGTCTCCTCCGCTTTGGCAAAGTCCACTCGCAGCCTGCGGTCTGGCCCGCCCAAGGGAAAGCCCCTCATCTTGGCGCAGGCGGCCTGGGCCGCGTCCAGGCTCTCGTACTGGATGTAGGCGAAGCTGTCCCCTTTGACGTGGTCGATGGTGCGAATGCTCCCAAAGCGGTCAAACTCCCGGGCCAGAGCGGCCAGGGAGGTGTTGGGCCCCAGGCCACCCACCCAGAGCCGCGTGGTGGGGTTGGCCTTGCCGTAGCCGATCTTGATGGGGTTGCGGCCAATGACCCGGCCGGACATGGCCACCTTGGCCCTGTGGGCCATGTCCAGGTTCTGGAACTTGAGGAAGGCGTACGCGCCGCCCTGGCCGCGGGCGGGCCTCTTGATGACCACCTCCTCGATGATGCCGTACTTCTCGAAGGCCCGGCGCAGCTCCGCCTCGGACACGCTGTGGTCCAGGTTCCCGATGAAGAGGTTGCGCGTGGCGCGCTGGTCGTCCTCGGGCATCAGGTCCTCCTCGCACACGGCCGGGTAGGCGTAGGGGCGCCCGCGGTCGTCGTACAGCCCGTAGTAGTCCAGGGCCCGCTCCCGGGACAGCCCCGGCGCGGCGGCGGCGTCCAGGGCGAAGGCGGCGGCGTGGCGGGCGCGGGGCTCCCGCAGGGGCGGCGGGGCCACGGGGGACAGCGAGCGCTGCTTGTACGGGTAGCCGCCGTGCAGCGGCAGGTAGCCGAGCGGGTCGGCGGGCGCGGGCGGCCCCGGGGGCGGCGTGGAGGCGGCGGCGCTGCTGCTGCTGCTCCTGCGGCTGCTCCCGCCGCCGCCGCGCAGGTACACGGGCTCCACCTTGAGCGGCCGGTCGTAGAGCAGCAGCTGGCGGGCCAGGGCGTGCTGGCGGGCCTCGCGCGCGTCCTGCGGGTGCCGGAAGTTCACGTAGGCGACGCGGCCCAGCTCCGGCGTGTGCGACAGGCGCAGGCTGATCTCGCCGAAGCGCTTGAACTGGTGGAAGAGCCGGTCCTCGAGGTGCTCGGCGGGCAGCGCGGGGCTCAGGCTGCTGATGAGCAGCGTCTTGTACTCGGACGCGGCCGCCGACGAGCCGGGACCCGAGGGCTCGGCCCCGGGCGGCGGGGGTGGCGGCAGGGGGGACGAGCGAGGCGAAGCGCCGCAAGCTCCCGGGTCCCCGGAGGCCCTGCCGCCGCGCCCCCCGCCGCCGCCGGAGCCGGAGGAGCGGCCGCTGCTCACACGGTGGTTGGCGTCCCCGGCGCCGCGGCCGTCACGGTGCCCGCTGCCGCCGCCGCCGCCGCTGCCGCGGGGTTTGTCGCGGGTCCGCGTTGGAAGCGGGTGCTTGGCGCCGACGGAGGCCTTGTGCGCCGCCCGCCGCCCGCCCGCCTCCGCCTCCCGCTCGCGCTCCCGCGGCCGCTTGGCTGAGGACGACGAGCCGCGCCCGCTCGGGCTGGAGTCTCGCTCGCTCTGCCTCTTCATGGCGCCGGCGCGGCGGGCGGGCGGGCGGCCCGCAGGCCCCTCACAGCGGCGGAGGCGGCGGCGGCCGAGCAGGCAGCGCCCCCGGCGCCGCCATCTTGGACAAAAGGACTCGGCGCGGCGGCGGGGCGGGGCGTCGCGTTATCAGGCTGCGCCGACGCGCCACGTGACCCGCGGTGGGCGGGGCGGGGCGGCGCCGGCGTGCGTAAGCGGACTGCGCCGCCCGAGGCCACCCGACCCCGCGGCCTGCCCCCGAGCCCGGCCGGGCGGTGCTTTGGCGCCACCGTGTGGCCAACGGAGCTGAGGCTGGGGCACCGCTCCCGACCCTCCCTCTGTGCGCCCAGGCACAGCATCCCTCCCGCCCCCACCGCGGCGTCTCCGCCTGGGGCTCAGGGCTGACGCCCCAAGGACTGGAGCACGCTGCTTCCTAGGCCCGGTCCAGGACCCCCACGCTCACAACTCGGTTCACCTGCTGCGCCCCCAGCTGCCCATCCCCACCCACCAAAGGCCGAGGCACAGACCCGAGACACACCTGCAACTTACGGGGTGGGAAGAGGCTCCTTGACCCCAGACAGCTGCAGGGCGCAGGGCAGGCCGAGTCCACTAGTGAACCTCACTGGCCAGGGCCCTCCTACCCCTCGCCCCGGGGCAGGCCCTCCTCTCCGAGGTGAAGTGAGAAGCCAGGGGGAGGTGCTGGACCCATCGCAGTGGCTGCCCACCGCCTCTCCTCCCACACTGGACAGCAGCTCCGGGGCAGCGAGATAGGTGCGAAGGAAAGGCCCTCACACACACCTGCAGCACTGCGCGAACTGCTGCCACCTGCTCCTGCTCACCCATGGGGCCGGCCCTCGGGCTGTCTTCCGGTGGCCTGGGGGACACGGAGGCCCTGGGACACAGACCTAGGGGGCTGAGCTGAGACGGCGCCATCTTCTGACTTCTGGCTCCCATCATAGATTTCCCAGCCTTTTTCATGGGCTCAGGACACTGCCTGCCAGATCTGAAGAGCCCCCTCCAGTCAGGGGAGGCTTGGCCTGAGAAGTGGCCCCGCCTCCTGGTGTTCCTCAGACACGGGGCTGCCGCGCCCTCGTGGGCTGTATGGAGGGCCTTATGCAGGCAGACTGAACGCAGGCTGACAAGTCCTTGGCAAGAACTGCTTGTCTTTGCCTGCACGTGGTCTCCACGGGTCCGAGACAGATGTTTCCCTTGAGTCAGCTCCTGCTGACAACTGGGTTTCCAAGCACCAACCCCACAGAAAGCAACGGGAAAACCAGGTGTGGGAACAAGCCCCGAGCACCTCAGCTGCTAGGCCTCTTGGGTAAAGACCAAGGGCAGCCTGGCCTGGCTCTTCTGACAAACCGACCCCTCCTGGTCCTGCAAAAGCCCAACGAGGCCTGATTCTAGACCACAAACTCTGACGAGCAAGTACCTGCAGGGCCAGATGTGGAGGGGAGGGGCCAGGCCACGGGCATCTTAGGAACGTGCACCCTCCCCTTGTATCTCGGACTCCACCCCGTGCCTCCCAAGCAGCCGTGCGGCTTTCAGCCCACCTTCCTCCTGGTCCCCCCTACCCCTCACCCCACCACCTGACAGCCCAGCCCGCGTCCCACCCTGGCATCTCCAGCACTGATGGTTGGGCACAAGGTGAACGGACCGGAAACTGTAAACCAGGGAGCGTCGGTCGGTGGGGTCTTCATGGGGGAAGACCCTATTTCCGAGTTCAATTCCCCAAGGACAGCTAGAAGTTCTCTTCCTTTAATAAAAAAATCCCAGACACACTTTGAAGTCCCAGAGAAAACCAGCAACAGAAGGAAGCGACCCCCCGACAGGATGCTGGAGAGCCAGCACCACCAGGAAAGCTCCAGGCTCCACACCGGCCATGGTCAGGAGCTGGTCTAAATAAATTACAAAACGCTGTTTGGGGAAGACACAGCTGAGCCGCTGCTTCCCCCAAGTGCCGCCAGGTGCCGCCTACAAATCAGTCCGTGCGCCGGCCGCCTTGGGGGCGTACTTGGGCATCAGTTCGTGGATCTTGCGGATGTAGTCGGACTTCTCGGCGCAGCCTTTGCACGTCTCCCCCCAGTCGTCCAAGATCTTCTTCAGCTCCTTCACCCGCAGCTTCTTCAGGTCCACTGTGCTCAGGTCGATCTGCTTGTCTGCGGGGAGCGGGAGAGTTACCAGCTGGGGGCGGCCAGACCCCACAGGCCAGGCGGGACCGCACAGCCAAACCTCCCCTCGGACCAGCACCCTCCTGGCGCGGGGACAGCTCCAGACACACACGGAGTGCCGGTGCCCATGCCCCAAGGGGCTCGGCCTCTTCACCAGGAAGGCGGGGCTCCTGCTGGCCGTGTCCACAGACAGGCAGTGTCGCCGGGACAGGGATGGAGGCACAGCCTGTCCCTCAGGAGGAACGTGGCTCCCACTCGCCCAAGTGCCTCTTTGTTAGTCATGGTGGAGGTCAGGTTACTGTAAAGGGGCAGCTTCAGGGCGACAGAGCAGGTAGACCCCCAGCCCGTTTCCCAGCACAGGCCTTGGTCAGGCCCCGGTCAGGCGCTCACGCTGCACTCCGTGTGACCGAGAGCCCTGTGCCCCCGCACCTCCAGGGCCTCTCCCGGAAGTCCAGACGTCCCTGACACACTGGGGGAACACAGGACTTTGGACACTCACACCCAATGAAATGTGTTGGTGACACTGGAATGGCACAGAAAACCACCAGTCCCAGCCCTGACCCTTCTCCAGCAGAGACCGGCGACTCCGGCCTGCCCGCTCGGACGCAGCACTTGCTTCAGGATCAGAAAGGGCTCTCTCAGAGCTTGCAGCCAGGAAAGCCCGTTAAATCCCACACCCTCCTCAGCCCTCAAATCAATGGCCCCAACTCTGTCCAGACACACAGCCAGACTGTCTGCACCAACTGCCAGGCGCCCTGTGCCCAGCTCACCACCTGTCATGCCACACTGGCTGCCTCTGCATTGTCCATTTCCTCTGTCTGGAATGTTCTTCCGTTCCCTTGGCTAATGTCCCACCTCCTTCTGAGTTTCTGAAAAGTCACCCCAACGAGACCTATTCTGACCTCCACCCATCACAATGCCTGACCTGCACCCCACTTAGCACCACCTGCCGTGTTCAGCCACATACCCCGGCTCCCGCGTGTCACCGCTGGAAGGCAGAGCCCGGCGTGGGCACCGGGCCGCAGAGTACTCACCGTACTTCAGCTCGCAGATCTGGCTGTCCTTCTTCTTGAGCTTCTCGCACACCTTCTCCACGGGGATGTGGTGGGCCAGCGGCTTGGACACCTCGTTGATGATCTTGGTGGCGGCGTCATCTGTGGCCCCGATGTAGTAGCACTGCAGCAAGAAAGGACACGGCCTTCAGGAGCCGGCGCTGGAGTGGCCACCTCCAAAACACACTGACATCTCACAGCCCCTCCCTCCTCTGCCAGGGCCTCCTTTTCCCAGGCCGCCCTGTCCGGGCGCAGTCAGGGTAAGCCCCGAGATGTAACACACGCTCAGTCCCAGAACTGGCAGCCACCACATGAGGCTAAGAGCCACCAGGGTTCAAACCCTCTTAGACAGACAGACAGACAGAACCAGACTGCCAAGAAAACGAAAGCTACAAAAGCCACCGCCTCACGGGGGTGGTCCTGTCCTCCATGGGCCTGGGCTCACCCAGTGCACACTGGTACCCCTGTCCTCAATCAGGCCAAGCTCGGTCTGGCCTCTGGGCACTCCCCCTGGCTGCCCCCTCGGACTGGGATGCTCTGTCCCCACCCATGACCCTCCCCCAGAACGACTCTCCACCCCACCGTCCGTCCTGCTGCTGCCCGTCACCGCTCTCCCCCGACAGCCAGTGCCACACAGAGCAGGTGCTGCGCCACCAGAACAGGACCAAACAGACAACTGCAGAGGAAGAGTCCCCGGCAGAACTCACTCCGGCTCCTGGCCAGGCAAGTGGCCGCCCCGCCCAGGCCTGCGAGCAGGGGGTTACCGGCCGGCGCCGGCGGGGAGCCACCAGCTACTCACCAGCCGATTCTCTTTGCCTCTTGCTTCGCGGCAGAAGTTTACAAGCTCTTTTTCGATGGAGGCTGGTGAGAATGTGACATCTCTGTCTTTGAGGTCCTGGTAAAATCTTCCCAGGTAAGAAACACAAACTGGAAGAGAGAGAAGGGAGGTGAGGTCAGCATGCCCAGCTGCACCCAACCCACAGGAGTCACGCCGCGGTTCTAACCGGAGGCACCGAGGGAGGCCATTTCCCACCGCCGGCTTTCCTCCCGGGCTCACCGGCCCCCGGGCCCCCAATGCCCACGGCAGCTCCTCCCCGTCTCTCCCGTCAAGTCTGAGCCCGGACGGAACGCGGCCTCGATGGACTCACTGTGACCTCACAAAGGGACACGCTGGAGGCCGAAGGGCAGACGAACCAAATGCTGCTAATTTCCAAACAGCCCTCCGGCCCCCGAGGAGCGGCTTCGCACCCCCACCGGCCCCGAGAGCCTCAGCCCAGCGGCGGGGAAGGATGAAAACTCCGTTATCCCCGCTCCCGGCCGCTCTGGGCACGTCCTAGCCCTAACTTTTTCTCGCCCCACGTAATATTTTCTGTGCCCAGCGCTGGCCCCTCTTCGGGCAGGTCCCGCTGGGACAGGCCGCCGCCGCCCCGCCGGTTCCGGTCCCGGCCCCTCGGCGGCTCGGGTGGAGTCAGGCCCGCCCGGCCCCGCCGTACCTTCGCAGTCGCCCGGCCGCAGCGCCCGGCCGTCCGGCAGCACGCTCAGAGCCAGCGCCACCGCCAGTCCGTGCGTGGCCCACATCCTCCACCGCCGCCGCCGCCCGACTGAACCGCGCCCGCCGCCGCCTCCAGGTTCCGGACGCACGCCGTAGCTCCCCATTGGCGGGCAGCCCCGCGCCCGCCCACACGCCGCGCCCCCATTGGACCACGCCTGCCAGAGCCCAGACGAGCGGCTCCACGCTGCCCTTCCTCATTGGCTGGCAGCGGAACCGCCCCCGGCCCTAGACAGTTGTCGGCCGCTGATTGGAGGGCGTCCGCAGGAAGCGGGGGCGGCGGCGGAAGCGGCACGGCCTCCATCTTGAGTAGGGGCAGCGGTTGTGGCCGAGGCGGGGTGCCTCTGGCTCCGGTCCGGCGCCTGCAGAACTGTCCCGCCTCCCCATTCTGAGCCCCACGCCCGCCCGGGGCCTCGCGGGGAGCCGGCGCGTGCGGTGCCCGCGGGCTCCCCTGGGAAGGGCGAGGTGCCCGCCGCCCGGCAGTGGGCGGGGGGCTTAGGTTTGTTCCCCGGAGCAGCTCCCCGAGTCTCCCAGGCCCGGAGCCTGGCCGAGGTGCCCGGCGTCCCAGCGAGCGTCAGGCCCGGGGCCCGGGGCCCGGGGCCCGGGGCCGGAGCAGCGCGGCGCAGGCTCCCTCGCTGCGGCCCTCCTCCCGGCCGCAGGAGGCGGGGCGCGGAAAGGCGGCTCCGCTCGGGGCTGAGGTCGGAGGGCGCTGGGCTGCTCCGGCCAGTGAACGCAGAGGGTCAGTGTCAGGTATTCATCTTTAATTCACATCACAGCAATCAGGGGGGCGGGGAGGGCGAGGTCAAGGGCAGATATTTACATCGGGAAGTCACATTACTTGTTAGAACATGCGACCACAATATATACAGTGAAGTACCTCTTGGGACACTAGTACATTTTTTTCTTTTAACTTTGCTCTCTGGTACAGATAATTTTTAAGTCACCCCTCCCCTCTTTTAAACATAAATACACAAAAGAAATGGTTAGAAGTGTTCTAATTTTAAATAAGCACAGAATGCCCAGAGGTTAAAAACACATTTATAGGGCTGAACACCAATTGGACATCACTCTCTATACATTTTTTGCTCAAATTCCTGTACAAATACACAGCATTCAAATAGGTATTTACAAATAAGCTCAAAAGAATGAAAATCAGTATTTTACAATCTTCAGAGGATTCACACCTCTGACCTCCCACTTCCCTTCAGACTGGCTGATTCTCCAACAAAAGGGATTTGGAATCTGTTCTTTCCATCCAGGGAGGGAAATGGAGGGCAAAACCCCACTGGCTCACCTTACAAAAAGGAAGGCAAATGGCCCCCCACTGCCCTCTGCCCTCCCGGCCACCTGGCGGAGAAGGTAGATGTGGGGCGAGGACAGCCTTGTCCGGGACAGGTTCAGGGGCGTCCCCAGGCCTGCCCCCTCCTACCTAAGGGTCAGATACAAAGCTGGGGCCCAACCCTACACTGACCACAGCCAAGTGGCCTGGTGACAGCCACGCCAAAGGCGGGAGCACCCTCAGCACCACCCTCGCCCTGACGGCAATGCTGCCCTGTCTTTCCTCAAAGGTTACTGGCTGGCATTCCTATTAAACAGCTGGTGTTTGTTTACAAGAGAAAAACACCCTGACCACCCTGTCCGTTTGGGAAGAGGGGCAATGACGAAGGGGGTCTTGGGCCCAGGGCCAGCCACGAGGCCAGCCAGACCAGCAGAAAGGTGCTCGGGAAAAAAACACATCTGCTCAACAAGAAGGCAGCCTGTGACCATCAGAGCTGTGAACTCGAGCAAAAGAAAGAGTGAGTCTGTGTCGACTTAAAGTAACTTAGAAGCACCCTGGTAGAATACTGCTGCTTCCTCCTCTTCCCCCCTCAAAGATAAAGCAAGAGGAAAATCGGCGCTCTGACCCGAAAGTTCCCCAGAGTCCACTGCACTCTGTCCAGCAGATGGGAGGCTGGAGAAGCTGCCCTCCTGCCCGCCCTGAACCCTGAGTGGTGGTCCTCACCGCCCGGAGCAGGGGCAGCCTGCGCTTGGCACTTGGAAGAGGACAGTTCACCTTGCATGGCTCCCTAACTCCACAATGAGACGCTCCTCCTCAGCCTGCTCCCCGGGAGCTCGCTGAACCTGACCGTGAGTCCTCAGGGCTTGGAAGCCTGGCTGGGCAGCCAGCCCTCTGCTCAGAGGTAGTGCTGAAAATCCCTGATTCAGGAGCTGCATGTCAGGCAGGCCGGCCACCTTAGAAAGCACAGGGTTTCCGGACCCTGCCACAACTCGGCCTCACTCCTCTACCAGCTCATCTCTCAACTCGTGGCCGCCTGGCCTTGGGGAGGAAGGTGGCTAGTCCCTTTGGTTCCACATCCCCACTCAGGCCTAACCTTTGCCGATCCATTCGCCAAGGGGGCTCCTGCAGGGCATGAGGCGTATGAGTGGAAGGGAGCAAGTGGTGAGAAATGAAAGCGATGGAGGGAAAATCCAAGACAGCTGGAGGCAGGACTGGCCGGTGAAGCCTGGCAGTGTGCCCCGGGCATGCAGTCAGGCCAAGTCACATGCCTGAGCTGGCAGGTTGGCCCACCCAGCCCTCAGTTGAGTGTTCCTGGACAAGAGTGGCAGGTGGGCAGGCATTTGTGCAAAACGGCTTGTAGCCACTTGTCCGCCACCTGTGACGTGCAGCCCACGTGGCCCGCGCAATCCCTGAATTCAACCATGAGCTCTTCCGTCCACAGCGAGAAGAGGTCCTAGTGCAATTTCCGTTCTGTGCGTCTCCACCTGGAGGGCCTGGCGCCTGCCCGAGGCCCGCGAAGCGGTTCTGTCTGTGCAAAGCCTCACCGAGCTCCACGGCCTGGAACTGCAGGAGGAAGAAAGCATCTACTGCGCACAATGAGGGGAAAGCCCGTAGGAATGGAAACGGAGACATGAAATGAAAAGGGAAGCCACAACCCTCATGCTGCTGTGGCCTCTGCACATGGCAACACACAAGTTCACGGCAGTAGAACGTAGACTCGGTGGTTCTCTCCTGAGTGCCAGGCCTCTCTGCTCCCGGGGGCCTTGCTTCAGACCTGGAATGGTCGGCGAGCTGCTCTGAGGGCGGCGTTCCAGCCGCCTGCCTGCCTCACTGCTCCCCGCGGCCATGCTCCCAGGCCAGGCGGGCCTGCTCTTCCTTGGCGCTCCCCGGGGGCAGTGAGACCTTGCGGTGCAGGCCCCGCGGCCTGTCGGCCTCTTCGCGCAGCAGCACCCCTTCGTCATGCTCCAGGGCCGGCAGGCGGGGGTGGTAGGGCTTGGGTGGCAGCGCAGGCGGGTCCATGGGGTCCTGAGGGATGACGCATCCCGGGGCGGAGTGGCTGCGGCATGGCTGGGCCTTCATGGAGTCCAGGACGGCCGACTCGGAGAGGCTGTAGTGAACAGGGAGGTAGGGTGGCTCCAGGTCTTCGTCGGCATGCCAGGCCTGGCTGGGCATGGAGTCCATGGTGTCGGTTCGAGGCGGGGCCTCTGAGGGGTGCCCAAAGTTACTCTCGCTCAAGGAGGACACGCCACTGCTGGCGCTGCCGGACAGTGTAGAGTTGCTGCCGTCCAGGCCCGACTGGGGGCTGGTGGGGGAGGCTGGGATAGGGTGGAGAGGAGACTGCAAAAGAAAAGTGGACAGTTAGCATTCCTCTGCGGACAGGCTGACAGCCGCGGTATGGAGAAGGCCAAGATGCTTATCAGTGAACTTCAAAAGGACCTTCAGCAGCAGCCGCTGCTCCCTCCGGCCCGAGGCCCAGGAGCCCAGAATCACCAAACACGGCCCTGCCCTGGCTGCTGGGCATCTGTGCCCCCTGAAGCCAGGGGCAGGGCTACTGGCTGTGGCTCTCGGGCGCTTGCAGAAGGGCTAGGGCAGGCCGCTGGGCAGCACTAAAACCTAGTTGGCCACGGACCAGATGAGTGCATTCTGCTGCTAAGTCCGTGATAGTCTCTTCCAATTTGCAGGAAAATTAGTGAGTTTTAATAAAGCTTTGTTGCCTGGTGTTATGCTTTGACTGGGCTCTGGTTTAAATGCTCTGCCGTCCATCACGGGCTGCTTCTTTACCTCTTGAGCTGTTTGCTGACACCAAGGCCCTCTAACCCTCTCCCCCATCACGGTGGCTGCGGACACACTGTCACCTGCATCCCCAGTGTGGCTCTGGCCCATGGAGGTGGGAGTGGGGAGACCCGGGGGGAGAGCAGAGGAGCGGACACCTACAGCCGCGGGGGCTGTGGCTTCAGTACATTACCTTGCGCAGGGTCCGGGCAGGGAGGGCCGGGGGGGTGTCACCCAGGGGGTGGTGGAAGGTGTCAAAGTGTAGGGAGTAATGACCTGCAAAGGGAACAGAACCACAGCCTTAGCTGGGGCCTCTCTCGGGCCGCACACCAGCACATCTACTGGGCCAACGGGTCAGACGAGGGAAGAGCATCCGGGGAGCCCTCAGCACTGAAGGCACAGAAACATCTCAGTGAAGTTCTCCAGAACACAGGCTGCTGGAGTGACAGACACTCGTAAAGAAGGCCAGCGTGTCAGCCGTGGAACAGCCGCCAGCAGCGCAGTCTCCGCCCACTGCTGGGTGCTGACAGTCAGGGTCCTGGTCTTCGCCGGGCCGGCGGCCTCACCGAGCTCACTGGCTGCACCCCAAGCCCAAGCCCGGCAGGGCTCCTAGGGCGGGGCTGTCCTTCCTCGGCTGGGTCAGCCCAGAGCATGGCCCGTCTTCTCAGCCTGGGGGGCTGCTGCCTTTGCCCCTGAGCAGAGCTGGCGACCAGGGACTACCTGGGGACCCGCTGGAGGCCTTCTTACCATGCAGCAGGCTTCGGGGAGGCACTGGGGGCGCGAGGATGCGCCCCATGTGGGCAGACAGGAAGGGCTGGGCCTCCTGGGCTCCGCTATCCAGGCTCCAGCTGCTGGGGGCTGCGGGCACCGCTGAAGGTGGAAACACATGGCATGAAGGCGAGTTACTTGCTGAGCCGCTCGGTGGGAGAAGCCCACCTGCAGTGTCTGGCTTCTCCAAGTGGGCACTGTACCCAGCACGGGTGGGAGGGGCATGCCAGCCCCTGGGGCAAGAAACACTGGCCACGCAATTCACTGGCCTGAGGGGGTGGCCAG